CCGAAAGGATGATAATGTCGGGAGATGATTTGTCCTTCGCTGCGGCTAGCTGCTTCTAGGATGCACAGGCTTTTCACCTTTGTCGGTGCTGGATTCGCAAGATGCAAGATATGATGAGATGGTTGCGGAATACCATCACGGTATTAGCGAAGCTAATTTAGCGTGCTCCACATCATCTCCGAATCGAGAAAGCGAGGTGAGTGCATCGCATCTCTGGTCTAGCTTTCCTATCGGTCAAAGATTGTGTAGCCGCTTGGGAACATCTGCGGGAAACTACTCTCCAGTGCCGGGGATATAGAGCGTTTCATAGCATACATGGACGCAGACTACACCGGCAGCTCTTCCGCTTGTTCAGTGTTGCGCAGACTATGTGCCGTAGAGCCATGATGGCTCAGCCATCTATAGATGCAGCTCAGGAAACTACTGGTCTTGTAGAGGGTTTGCAACTTGCGAATCGCAATTTGATAGTGATAGTGATCCTAAGCATAGCTTCAAAAAACCTCATCATCCACTGAAGGGGTTCAGTGAAAAGCTTAAGATTGTACATTCCAGAGCTGGCACTCACTTAGACTCTGTGATGGACAGGACGCTGCCTCATTAGTTTATGAGAGAAGAACAACGCAGACTGGATCACTATAATGACGTCCAGGCCGGTAGAGTATATGACTAACCCAAGTCGTAGCGTAAGTTAGCCAATGTAAGGTATATAAAGAGCAATGGGAGACGGGGTTGGATTGAGAGGCGTCGCGTCTCCGCGTCACGTCTCACGTCACGTCACGTCTCACGTCACGGGCGTGCGCTACCGTATTCGACGTGCGCGTGTGGATCGCGAGTAGCGACATGCCTCCCCCCCCAAAAAAATCAATAGTTGGTATTGGTACTGTTCGCATCATCGAATCGAAAGGTCATATTAGACGGATCGATAAAATCCGTCGCGGTACCATCTTCCCAACGGATGCGAATGAGCGAGTCGATGTCGTCCACTATGACTCCTTTCATTGGACCTTGACCGTTGTTTACGTCGTCGACTATAATAGGCATTCCTATCCTCGTAGGGAAGCGACAATTAAGGCAATCGGAGTGGTCCTCACCCGTGAAGCTTGAATGGCGAAGGGGGACGACGTTGTGAGGGCTCTCGACCCTGACCTGTCCATTAGGATACACTACCTGAATACCATGCGTAGAATTGCGAGTAGATGGACGTAGTAGAATGACGTGTGCTAGTCGGAAGGAATCGCCGAGCTTCTGCTTAGGATGATACACCAGGACCGGGTTACCGTAGACATACCAATGTTGATCTTCGGGCTTACTGACCTTCTTGAATAGGTACGATGAGGCACTCTTAGCTTTTAGCTCTTGCCAGACCGCAGACATATAAGCTCGCCTGAATGAGCGGC